TGGACATACAACACATACATACATACATACATACATCACATACAAACATACATTACGTATGTTGACATAAATTTTTCATGTATATCATACATAACTTTACATGCAAATTAAAAAATAACAAAAAATTCAAAAGTATTTTCATTTCATCAGACATACTTTATCAACCTAATCAAATTAATGTGCGATCATTTCAGTTTATGCTAACAAATAACAAAAAAATCTCCCATACTTACTTTCTTATATTTTCTAAAGACAAAAATAGAGCAAAAAGAAAAAGAAATTAATGAAAGTTGAAAATTTTGATGAAAAATAGTGAACGAAATTGAGAAAGAAAAATTGTATGATATCAATGAAACAATTAATGTTAGCAGTGAAATGATTGATTGTTTCAAGTGAAAAGTTTGATCAGTAAGATTTATGAGATATTAGACTAAAATAATTTTTTGAATGGAAAAAGAAATAAATGCAAAAAAAAAAAGGGTCTATGATAGATAAAATATTGGTTGTAATTCATTTGTTTTTTTTTTTTGTTTTGATGTAAAAAGGTAATTAGCTAATAGTTTCTATTTTTCTTTCTAAATTGGCGAAAGAATAATGATTAATTAATTAATTAATTAATGACATGCATATGGTGGTATCGATTGTAATATTGATGATGAGAATTTTTTTTTTTTTTTTGGCTCAAATTAATTACCCATAAAAGAGAAGAATTCAAATGTTATTACGACTTGTTTCAATAACTTCAATCACATTCAATGCTATCTTTTTGAATTCTAAATAAAAATAAGGAAAGTTTAATGAATGATTAAATAAGGAAAGTATAATTTTATCCAAAAAAAAAAAGAAATGAATGAAAAGAGGAATAAAGAAAGGAATGAGAATGAATGAGAGGAAAAGAAAGGATTGGTTGTTAAATCAAATGGGTGGATCCATTTTATATTTTTCTATGAAAAGTAGAAATTGACAGAGTGGAAAGAAAACCATAAATATCGAACCAACTTTGACAACAATTTAAACAAAATACCATGAAAAAATATATAGAATATTTCCGTTGCTTTAAAAAAAAAAAAAACATTTTCAAGAAAGACTATTCTTTGCGAAATTTTTAAAATTAAAATTTTCAATTTTTTATTTCAAGAAAAGAAGAGACAAAAATTGTTATAAAATATTTCTATTAATACTACATGATGGCATTATCATTTTTATGATAACTCTTTGCTTTACTAAATTTTTATTTATATAGAATTTACTTTTTACTGGCTAAGTTTCAGTACACCATAAAACATATTTTTACTCATTCAGAACATCGTTTTTTTTTTTTTACTTTTACACAAAATAATTTGAAATTGTAAACAAATTTTTACAACTATTTTTCGATTGCTGTAATTATAGATTAGTAATTGGATGAAATGAACTGAAATTAATCGAGCAAAATTATTTACAATCATTATAATTTATAATGATTAAAAATTGAAGTATACTTTTTTACCTGAATAAATAAAATTTCAATTTTTCAAATTCATATTGAATAAATTACTATAACAAAGTGCCATTATGTTATTGGTTGGGAATGTGTTATTTAACATTGGTGAGGAATAAATATGTAACAGTAATTGATGAAATGTTCAGTAATGAAGTAAATGGAACAAGACGGCACTGTCAAGGACATTAGTTCATTTTCCATCTTAGCATCTTTTCGTAGATCGTAATTTGAAAATTTAAATGTTTACAAATTGGTAAATAGTAAGTTTTAAATGGAACATAATTAACTTCTCTATCTTTCACTTCTATGATATAATATATTTTTTGTAAAAACCTAATCAATAATGCTATTCTCTATCAATATTGCTCATTAAAAGATACACAATCAATAATACTAAACTCTATCATTATCTTTCATTAAAGGATTATGCTAAATGATGCTGATTTTTGTACAAAATTTGAAAATATGTCATTTTGCTTCTATCGTACTGTAATAATAACAAGTAGCATTTAAATGTGGACTTTTAATTGATTGTTCAAGGCTATTTAGCGTTAAGTACCACTTGAAAGTTCTGAATTAAATAATAGCTTCAAGGAACAAAAAAAATGAAGGAAAAAAAGAATTGATCAACGACCTTATTTACAGATAATCTCACATAAATCATACACATATAAAAGAGGATGTAAGAGGAAATTTACTTCTTTAGAAAGTTTTTTT